TGCCCTAATCGAAGGCCTCTTCTCCTCCATCGAGAAGAAGAGTTCGTTGATTCTAGAGGATACACAAATCGAAGAAAAACTAACAAACCCACATGAGGAAAAACCATTAAAAGACCCAAGTTTGAAGAAACTTCAAGTYGATTTTGGTGTTGCAGGGGAGTTCAAACAGGTAATGAAAAAACATCAACAAACCCACATGAGGAAAAACCATAAAAGATTGATGAAAGTGAATCCCAAATTTGAAGAAACTTCAAATCGATTTTGGTGACGCAGGGGAGTTCAAACAGGTCATTGCTTTTGGAGATTGGGGTTTCGATTTTGGGTATTAGGATTTCGATTTTGGGGTTTTGTTCTTGGTGATGCATCGAAGTCGAGAGAGATAAGGAGAGAAGCAACCATTCGCGAAGGAGATGMAGGGTTTCGATTTCAGGAAGGAGATGCAGGTTTTGGTCTTGGGTTTTTGTTCTTGGTTATGCGTGGAAGTCGAGAGARATGAGGAGAGAAGCAACAATTTCGCGAAGGAGATGCAGGGTTCCAATTTCAGGAAGGAGATGCAGGTTTCAATTTCAGGAAGGAGATGCAGGTTTCAATGCGTAGTTCTTCCTCAAGGGGTAAATTGGTCATTTCTGTTATTCAGACTGTTGATTCAGATAGAAAAATAAACAACATAAATTTATCCAGACAGACAAATTTATCCAAACAAACAAATTTATCCATACAGGACTTAATAGAAAATTTGGTAAACAGCCTTAAGAATGTCATTAACCTTCTTGTTATTTATTATGACTTTACATATGGTTTTTTCCAAAAAATATATTTTTATTAATAAAAAAATAGTTATTTGATTAAAGTGGGTATAATGATTAGACAACATTCCATTTATTTTCAATAATTGTTTTTTTAAGGGTGCGTTTGGTATGCAGACTACATGAGACGGGACGGAACGGGACAAAAAAAATAGTCTCATGTTTGGCATGTCATGGACAAAAAATACATAAGACAAGATGTGACTATTTTTAAATTTCATGGGACAAAACTTGATAATTTTTATTCCACCAAAAAAGGTGGAACAACATGGGACTAAATATAAAATGACTATGTTACCCTTAGACCAATTTGAGATTCAAAAACCAATTAGTCCCGTCCCGTCCTGTCCTATCCAATCTGCGTACCAAACACTACCTTACAGCAAATCAACGACTTGTTAATTTTCTTTTCCGATCTCATCATTTTCAACCTAAACAAGTACAAAGTTTTAATATATTTCAAACTAATCATATCAGATATTGTTTGTTTTATTTACATCTGAACTCATGATTTTAAAACATGTCTGATATTTATAATACAACATTTATTCCTCTTCTCGGACCGAACCGATATAGAATCTTACATATATTTGTTGTCATGCACTGTTTTTTTTGTGTTCGACAACCAAACTCCTTGTGTCAACTTCTTGTAGCGATGATGAGTCGACTTTGTCCATCAAGGTTTTGATGGTGGTGGTGGTGATGAACAATGATAGCTGCTGATAAAAGCAGATCGGTGGTGGTGGTCAACGACGATAACTGTTGATAAGAGCAGATGGGTGGTGGTGGTCAAACCACAATAACTGTTGATAAAGGCAGATATAGGCGATCATGGCAACAAAGGAGAGAGATGATGAGAGAAGCTATAATAAAAAAATTGGTTTTTTACTTTATGAGAAAATGTAATAGTTAAATGATTACCAACAAAAAATTGATTTTTGGTTTTTATCAAAAAAAAAAATGTAGTGATTTATAGAAATAATTAACAGAGAACATTGGTTCTGATCGATTTACTTTGTAAATCATGTTATTTGTATAAACTGTACAAATCTCATTTAATCAGTCATAATTTTTCATTTTTTTGTACTTATGAAAAGTTGATTAATCATTTTTATTGTGGATGGTGTTAATCATGAGTATTATCATTTTCATTATATTAATCTAAAGAAATACATGAAACAATTTCATTAAAATTTCTTAATTATTATATGAACAATTTCATAACCATATATGAAACAATTTTATCTAGAAAAGTATTATATGAAACAATATCATAATATTAAACAATTTCATGAAACAAAATCATTAAATTAAACAATAAAATTGACGGATAAGGGTGGTTTGCATGATTTGTACAAATATGAGTGGTTTGCATTTTATCATTCCCTCCCCTCTCTCTCTATGTATATATGTATGTATGTATGTATGTATGTATGTATGTATGTATGTATGTATGTATGTATGTATATGAAAGATCAAACGAGAATACTAACTAACTAAGAGAATATGAAAAACGGTCAATGCAAAATCATATGTGATTTTCCATTACAGCCAAAAAAAGGTGTGTGGGCGATTTTGGCCGTGTTTTCAAGTCACGAAACAAAGTCGTGTGAATCACATATGATTTTGTATGTGAGCTAGTATAAATTCACATGTGATTCAACCGTTTTCTTATTCTCTTAAATATGTGTCATTCTCGTTTGAACTCGATTCTCTCTCTCTCTCTCTATATATATATATATATATATGCATATATTATTTTTATATCTATATTATTGATGTTGAATTAATACATGAGATCCATAAGAAGAGATCCTTATCATAGCATATCTCTAATGTAGTGACTTAAACAACTTCCCTTTGCACTTTTTTTTAATTACATCATTACCGTGCCGATTATCAAATTAAGAATTATCAGACTCCAGAATGCAAGTAAGTAAAAGAATCTTCAACATATTTTTCTAGACTTGATAATCCAAAGTTAAAAATCTCTTAAACGAAATTATATTCAACTCCAATAAATTTTTTATTTTAAAGATTTTAATATTAATTATATTATCAAAATATTTTATAATTTTATCATCCCAATTCAATTATATAAAATAATAATAATTCAACCTCGATGCTACAAAATGAGTAGAAAACTATTTCAATCTTCTCACATCACTTTTTAAAGAATTCTTAAAATTTGAAGTTTTTTTTTTGGTTTATCTGTTTTGGAGAACAAAATAGAGAATCCATTAAAAATAAAACTAGAATGGTACTCGCACAATGCAGCAAGATAAATCTCGATTTTGATGTTTAGTTTTTATTCTTTGTCTCTATCGATATAATACGATTTTTATGTGGTTTTGAGAAAAAGGTAATGTTTTTATTTTTTAATTAAAATATAAATTTGAATATAGCATAAAAATTTGTAAAAAAATAAATCGTTAATAGTACAAATTAACTATTTAATAGTTGCTTTTTTCTGGTGTAAATTCTTTAATTTAATTTTTTTATTATAGTTTAATTTAGATTTAATAACAAAGTAATTTATTTTTGGTTGAATAATATAATTTTTTATAAAGATAATAATTAAACATTCTGTTAGAACTCAATAATTATCTTAATTATATTTTAGATTTATAATATTTAAAATAAATGTTTATCCTGTATTATATTATGTTTATCAACAATTAGTTACACGAATTTAAAAATGGAGCTTTAGTAAACCGTACTTATACAAAATTACTTGTAATCTTAAATTTTAAGTAATATGCATCAATAAACATTATTTCGTGCATAAAAAATAGTTTTTATCAAATACTTTATAAATATTATAAATATATGATTTAATCTAATTTTAAAATTAAAAAAATACATATAATGTCAACTTTTTATTTGTTTAGTTATTAATAATGATAAAATACAAAAATAAATTGCAAAACAGAGGACAAAAAGTGAAACATGTGCGTTGACGTTGTGAAACAGGAAGTCTCTCCTTGACCCGCACGTGACTTTCATCTCCTTCCCCCAATTATCCAATGAACAACACCACTACCAGCACTCACTACCATCGCCTCCTTTCCTTCCTTCAACCACCACCACCGCCGCCGCCGCCGCCGTCCTCCTCAGCCCATCAACACCGTCGTATACCCGACTCCCAATTGCAGCACTCATCCTTTCATGGCTGAACCAACAGAAGAACTCAGACCCAAACCTCCCTCATTCCGATCACCCCCTCTTTCTCAACCATCACCATCGCCACCGCCGCCGTCGCCGTCTCCACTGCCATCGACCGACGACCCATCTTCTAATTCCGATCGCTCCCGAATTCCCCAAACAAACCCTTCCAAAATCCCTATTCGTCCTCAGAAAATCCGAAAACTTTCCTCATTCGCATCTGTTGATTCTGCAACAACCCTCCCAGAAGAAATTAAACSTCAATCAACAATCGCTGAAGCCGACGCATCCAAAGCCATCATCCTTTCAACCACCACAACCACCGTCGTAACAAAAAACCGTCGTCGAAACCCTTCACAATCCGCCAAAGATTTGCCCAAAGTAATAAAACCCTTATCCGCCCCCGGCGAGATCGCCGTCGCTCTCCAACACCTCCGATCCCATGACCCACTCATCGCCAACTTAATCGATAACCATCCACCACCGACATTCGACACACACCAATCCCCCTTTTTAGCCCTATCTAAAAGCATTCTCTATCAACAACTCGCGTACAAAGCCGGCACATCGATCTACACCCGTTTCGTCGCCCTATGCGGCGGCGAAGATGCCGTCGTCCCTGAAACCGTCCTCTCTCTCACATCCCAACAGCTTAAACAAATCGGAGTTTCTGGGCGTAAGGCAAGTTACCTCTATGACCTAGCTAACAAGTATAAAAATGGCATCCTTTCAGATGAATCAATCGTTAAAATGGATGATAGATCTCTTTTCACTATGCTTTCAATGGTGAAAGGGATTGGATCATGGTCTGTTCATATGTTTATGATCTTTTCACTTCATAGACCAGATGTTTTACCCGTTAGTGATTTGGGGGTTAGAAAAGGAGTCCAGCTTCTGTATTCATTAGATGAATTGCCTAGACCTTCACACATGGAACAGTTGTGTGTGAAATGGAGGCCGTTTAGGTCGGTGGGGGCGTGGTATATGTGGCGGTTTGTGGAAGGGAAGGGTGCTCAGGCGGCCGGAGCCTCTGCGGTTGCTTTAGAGAGCAATAGTTTTCCGGGTCAGCAGCAAATGGGGCAGTCTGAACAGGCACAGCAGCAACATCAATTGCAGCTTCTTGAACCGATTACTAACATCGGGAATCTCGGGTAGTTTTGCTGTTGCTCTATCCTGTTTCTTGTTTTATATGCATATAACATTTTCTAATTTGGTGTTTAGATGTGTTGATGTTGCTTTAGTTAATACTTGTTATCGGATATAAACCAAACCAAACCAAACCAAATATATCTGGTATATCCCAGTTAAAAGTAGGGTCTAGGAGGATAGGATGTACACAGACCTTTTCTCTGCTCCAAAAGGTAGAGATGTTTCCATGAATTGTTATCTGACATAGAGCTAACAAGTATAGTAATTTATAGATCTTGTCTCATATTCTTGATTTTTGGTCCAGCTCTTTTGGTGGAACAAAAAATGCTTGTCCCACTCAATCATGTCTATCTGCATACTAAACGCACCCTTGTAGTTGGTATTAAGCACAAAATAGTAGACTGACCAAATAGCCTACAAATTAACTAAAATTGTGGTCGGAAGTTATTAAGAGCGCATTGCGAGGTCTTATAAGAGGATTAATGTTCCTTATCGACAACCTGTATGGGATTCCCCCACCCAAGTTCATGATATTCTTGTCGGCCTGAAAAAATACTGAAGCGTAATCTCTAAATCATCACCTCCATGAGATGTACTAGTTCAGCTCCCTACACATTGATAGATGATTATATTTCTTTCCGTCCTCTGCACCAGAGAACGTTCAAATAGGGTAAATTCAAGCGGCAGATAAAGGCTAGGCACCCCATAGGTCGGCAGTTCAAGTTTCTTAGAGCCACTGGGGATTTTTCTGGTTGTTATCTTCAGGGTTCCATGGGATTAGCAAGGTGTGCGAAGGCTGGTACAGAAAGAACCAATTACGTAGCAGTTAGCATCATCTTGAATCGTTTAGGTTTTTCCTTTGTTGTCAAAGGGGCAATTGAAGCTGCAAATTAGGTCTAATCTATCTTGTAACGAGATTTGATGACTCCCGAAGATTTGTTAGGGGAGTTTAACCTGCAATTTTCTACTTGCAAAATACCCTTTTTCTCATTTGTTAATATTTGTTTGAAAACTACCATGTACTCTTATTAGGGGTTGTTTGGTTGGTTTTTAATCAAGTCCTGTATGGATAAAGCTGTATGTATAGATTTGAAAGGTTTTTGTTTGGGAAAGGCTTTTTCATAGATGGATGGAGCGTGTTTTTTAATCGGGAAGAACAAGTCTGGAAAAACTTGACTTTGTGCATAAATCTCCACTCTAGGAGCTTACTGAATAAGCCTTTTTCTATATCATTAAGCCACTATCTAACAGTCATATATAGCTGAGCGAATAAGCCATAAGTCTCATTAAGCTCATTAAGCTGCTAACAAACAAGCCCTTAGCCAGGTTTTCAAAATTTTATCTTATCCGACTTTCTGTCCGTCACACTTTTCACTGTAGTCTTCATAGAAACAACTGCTCTACTCTTATGAACAGGATTAAGGATGCAATTTACATCATGTTTGCCATTGTACTAAATTTACTACTCATAAACAAAGATTGTAGGGCATCATGACTAAACAAAGTTCTAGTTAACCTGTAAAACATGTAATTTTCTTAGTGTTATTGATGGGGTAATTTCTTTTTGGATAAAGATGGTGACGAGAGTATTTTATCGTATTAGTAGAGCTCAATGATAATACTGTGTTTGAACGTGTTTATCAGTTGGTTATTACTTATTACTTAGTTTTATGGAGTTCAAAAAGCTTTAAGAAATTATACGTCACTTGTAAACTTGAAATCTAAGAGATTATACATTACAAAACAGTACTTACGGTGTGTAGTAGGTTTTAATTTGACATGTATAGTTTAGTAATTTACCAATCTTGTCAGACTTCCCCTATTTTCGTTCCATCTATTTTGTTGGTACAAAAAAAATGCATTTTTGTCCCACTCAATCCCGTTATATCCCAGTCTAATGTCGCACCAAACATGGGACGACATCAGCATACCAAACGCACCCTAAGGCCTCCTCGTTCCACCCCAGGTATCTTAAGTTTAATGTTTACGTTCTCCACAAAAATCAACGTCATCAATATCTCGATATGCTTAGTTTCTATATCTTCATAATGGATATGTTTAGTACGTTACATTCCATGGGTTCGACGATATATAACAATGCATTCGTTTTCAGGGCGTGCATTTGGGGGCAATGACACGAAGATCGAAGAGAACGGATTTCGGATTTGGTATTGTAAATTGAATGATTACATACGATAATAATTAACGAGATTGAGGGTTCTGAAGTGAAGTAGATAAACCCCATTTCTCTAACGTTTTAATTTGTTAGTTTTTAGTGTTTGTTTTTTGCTTTTGTTCTTGGGAGTGTACAAGATTTATATTATAGCATGAGTTGTTGATATGTGGTGATTCTGTATGATCTTGATATGTGTATATTTATTTGTAGTGATTGTAATAATGTAGCGATCGAGTCGAACCATCGAATCCCTTTACGTATGGTATCAGGTCGTTAGAAAGCCGACATGGGTTACGTTTTGTTTTATTTGTATTTCGATCGAAAGATACAGGTAGAATTATGAATGATCATACTAAAGATATTATGGGGCAGATGGATTTGGATTTGGATTTGAAATCTTTGTTGTATCTGGTCGGTAGGATTTGAAATGGATCTGAATTTTATTATTTATAAATAATTTGTTATAAAAATATCCTCTTATTAATTGATTATTACAAAATAAACATTATATATATATATATATATATTTAAAACATTATTATATATAAATTTTACGAAATCCTATAAAATACTGACCGGTCCATATGAAATCCCATGTTTGTTGAACTTCAGTGAAAAATCTTGGGATTTTAAAATATAAAAATCTTTCAAATTAAATATAAGCAAATATATATTTTTGATGAGGACATAGTTTAAATAAGAAAGCATGATAACACTTAATTCACATGTGATTTTACTTTATTCTATATAAGATGTGGGTGACCTAGGTTGTCTCGTCGCACAACCTTATATTGACAGTATTCCATAATCACCTGTGATTTCAATCTGAAATCAAATTTGATAAATACGTTCACGTGTTTTCTTATTTTGACCAAGTTCTTGTTTGAATGAAACCTTACATATCTATCTAATACTTCAATTACTTTTTGTAGTTAAATTTATCAGATTCCAATATCTGATGTGAGCACCCATTCAATAATTACTTTTGTTGTTTACACAATTCGGTATTAAAGGGATGCTTGAATATGTTATAACTTGCTTGCTACTGTTGATGACTTAATCGTTAAGCTACACACAAAAAATCGACCATATATGACTAAGGGGTTGTTCGATTCATTTTATGTTAAGATACGTATGGATATAGTTGTCCGTATTGATATAGTTGTCTGTATATTAACAAATAAGTTGTTGTTCGGTTGTTATACTGAATAAACAGTAAATGTCAGAAATGGTCATTTACCCCCAGTCTTTATTTTTGTCTGAAATAAAAAAAATATACAAACATCAAAGTGAAACCCTCCTCCCCCTCTTCTTTGTTCTTCTTAGTAGGAGGATGTTTCGCCTGAGCCTTAGGCGGCCACTTCCCCTCCCCCTCCGCCGCTACCTAACTCCACCTTCCCTCCTCCATCGGCGACGGTCTGAACAACATCCATGGCACCACCGACCAGCTTCGAATCATATTATATCTCAACAGGAAGGAACCTATAATGGTGGATATGAGAAGGAACCTGTGATGGTGGAGATGGAAAGGAACCTGTGATGGAATCTTCAACAGGAAGGAATCCTGTGATGCGATGGTGGCAAGTCTTCAACAAGTCTCCAATGCGAATCGAAGCGTGAAGTGGAGTTTTTGTAAAATAGGTTTTTTTTATTGCATTGGTAATTAAGGAAATAAAGGGGAAATTACATGGCTGAGTGTAAAGGAGTAATGGTTTTTAGCTGACCGATTAAGTCATCAGTTGAATGAATAAGCCACAACCGAACAACTATTTATGGCTGAGCGAATAAGCCACATAGCCTATACAGCCTATTAAGCCACAACCCACAACCGAACAAGCCCTAAACGAATAAGATTTACAACCACTTGCCCAACTCTAAATTAGTTTCTTTACCACAAATTGCATAATATTATTTCTAAGATTTATTATAATCACTTGGTAAATCCACATCCAAACACCCGTTAATGTTCATAAAAAACAAGAATCACTTAAACGTGTAACTAGACATATGTATGTAGAAAGAGAATATTTTGGATAAGATCGAAATGCCTTCATTGTGGCGGCATCTGGTACCTGTCAATAATAGATAAAATCACGATTATTTAAACGTGTAACCATGTATACATATGTAAAACAAAAATATGTTAGAAAAAGTCCAAAATGCCCTCATTATGGAGGCATCTTGTACCTCTGATGTTGACAAAATATTTAGTGGCAGAGCCCGCAACTCCTACAACTTTCCTACTTAATAATAATCAGATATTAAATAATTGTGTCCTTCTATGTTATAGTTTTATATAAGCTAATGGGCTGTTTGACAGTTGTTGAATGGTTCGGTGCAGAATGATTAAGTGGTCAGAATGATTAAGAGACTCTAATATAGTACAAAATGAAATATAATTGTTTGGTAATTGTTTACAATGAAATCAAGGCGCTTAATGGTTAAGGAAGGCCCAAGATACAAAATCATTCAGATGATCTTATAACCATTAAGAGACAATTTTTTTTTGCCAAACAAGATTCACCTCTTAACGATTCAGAATCTGCCTCTTAATGGAACTATTATGAGGTAAACAAAGAATCCCTAAATCAATTTTTATTAATTTTTATTTTGTAAAGAATGGAGAGTTATTTAATTTATATATATGTGTATTAAACTTTTAGCATCTTTATTAACCATAACATAATCCTTTATGATCACACAACTATATCGATTTTTAATCGGAAAAAATCACTGTTATTTTATAACTGAGCTAAGATTGCTAGTTTGAAAACAATTCTTGTTAGGTGACATTTGTTTTTCAAGAGGTGCTGAAATCTGAAGTTTTATTTCACTTCTAATTAATATATATGATTAATAAATATGTTGAATTTTTAGATAAATTTATACAATTTCACATATTTATTAATTATAATTACGAAATTTACATCTAAATCATATATTCATTTAAATGAAAATATGTCATTAACGATATTTAACACATATAAATCATATTAAAATATATTAATTGAAAGAGGTGAGGATCGATTTGGTAAGGATAGATAAAGAATTGATCAATTAAGGTTAATAGATTGAGAAACACCGTTGTCGAGAATTTGGAGAACAATAAGAGGCAAATAAGATATTGATTTACCTCTTACCAGATAAGAAAAAGATAAGACATGATTGCCTCCAAAAAAATTGAAAAAAACAAACAGTCTAAACTGTCCTATCTCTTAACGAATCAGACATAAGATGCTGATAAGAACTTCTTTTGAAAAAACAAGGTTTTAGTCTTAATCGATCATGATCTCAATCTTATTACCAGTCTCGATCCAGGTTAGGCCGCTTATGACCATCATTAAATCAAACTACCAAAGCAAAATAAAATCTATTCGTTAAATTGGTTTATATCTATTAATAATGGGCTTATGGGCCGACTCGTATAACATAGAAAATCCAAAATTATGTGTATAATCACATATGATTCGCAAGATTTTGGCTGCGAACTGAGGTCACAGCCTACAGGCCACATCGCCTACACACCCTTATGTTAATTGTTAATGTAAAATCACATTTGATTTTGCCCGTGATTTGTCCGTTTTTGTATTCTTTTGTTTGATTATTGTTCTCGTCCGTGAGCTTGGACCCCCTCCCCCCATCTCTCTATATATACATAATTGTCCATCTATTGCCATGAACATATGATTTCATAAATACCTCGATTGCTTTTTAATATAAAATATTAATCATAATTAATGAACTCTAATAATTTTACATAAATATTCAGATCATAATAAATAAACCTCATCATTTCCATAAATATCTCAATTGATTGGTATGGTTTGTATTTATGACATATATCATATATTTGAAACAAACTCTATATATATATATATATATATATATATTGTATATGTATGTATTATTCAGTTACATTTTTTAAAATAAATATTAACAAGTTAATCTAAATCTACTGTGAAATATTACCCAACATGTCCATCATAATTATTTGTAAGCCCAAAACAAACGTACCTTGTATATACCAATCAAAAGCACTCTTTGAGATAGAAATACACATACATTTCCTCTACTTCAAACAATAAAAAGACTGATTCCATAAAAATGCGAAGGATCGGAGAAAATTATAGGGGGAAGCGTAAGAAGAAATTTGAACTTTTATTCATTTTTAATCTCATGTCCGTCAATGAATTGTGTTTTAGAAAGAAATTACTCACGAGTGTTGATATTCAATTATGATTGGTCCAAAAATGAAAATCTTTTATTATACTTCTAACCATAACTTCCCTTTTCTCGACGAACCAAACCGTCCATAAATATTTCGATCCAATGGGTGTTTTTTTGTCAAAAGTAGGTATTAATGTGATGTCCCATTTTAATTGGAACTCCCACCGTGTGCATTATAGGTATTTACTATTTAAGTGGGTTAGTCGTCTCTTCATCACCACAAATGCCACTATACAAAACCCAACCATATACATATATATATATATAGAGGAGTGATCATATGAAAACCGCCCTCATTTGTGTAAACCGTGCAAACCACCTTYATCTGTCGATTTCATTGTTTAATCTTATGAAATTTTTTCATGAAATTGTTTAATCTTGTGAAATTGTTTCATATAATACTTTTTTTGATGAAGTTGTTTCGTATATGGTTGTGAAATTGTTTCATATAATACTTAATGAAACTGTTTCATGTATTTCTCTAACATTAATGAAATTGTTTCATGGATTTCTCTAAAATTAAAATAATGAAGATGATAATATCTATGATTAACACCCTCCACAATAAAAATGATTAATCAACCTCTCATAATTACAAAAAAATGAACAAAATGAAAAATTATGATTGGTTGAATGCGGTTTGCACGGTTTGTACAAATTGAGTGGTTTGCATTTGATCGCTCCCCTATATATATATATATATATATATACATATATATATATATATAGGGATGTTATTTTACACCATTTGTCATTCCTACACCCTATACAACCCTCATCTCAACCATTCAATTTTTAATCAATTAATTGTTTCCTAATATAAAGTATTAATCATAATTAATAAACTCTATTCATATTCCGTAAATATCCAAACCATAACAAATGAACTCCAATCATTTCTATAAATATCTCAATTAATTGGGTTGCAAAGGTTGTACAAATGCAC